TTGTAGAAAGTTTAAGTTTGTTACAGAAATATTAAATACTTACAAGGATATCTTCCTACATAAATACAATTAAAAAGTTTTATATTATTTATTAGTTAAAATTCTGTATACATATTCTAAAGGATTAGTGATCTACATATACCATTTACGTTTAGGTGTAACAAAATAAATGTATTTAATATAATTGTTGTAGTTGATGTGAAACTAAATATATATTTAAAATAACAATATCTCGATTTAAGGAATACTCGTTTTTAAATATTTCAAAATTACATACTATAATATTGTTAATTTATAAGAAAACAAAAAAATTAAATTACGTTTATGCCTTATTTTAAAGTTTAGAATACCACAATTTTATTTTTTGCATTGTATATACATTTCTATAATATACTGTGTTAGCGGTTCTCAAACTTTTTTGTATGCAAAATCCTTATGTTCCTTAAAAAAAATTACGGAGCCTAAAAAATCAGAAATGTCTATTTAAGACAATAATATTTCATAAAATATAATGTAAATAGAAAATGATTTGCTTTAATTTTTTTTCTTTTAAATACAAAGCATATATAAAAAATATTTAGTTAATTTAATTGGAAAAAAAAGAACATATTATTTTAGTAATCTATGAATTTTAATATTTATTGATTTTAATGTGATTCATAATGTTTGCTTTTTTCATTAACGATATTTTAATATTTGGCTTGATAGATAGGAAATGGATGCGCATGTCTGATTTAGCATCTAATTTATTGCAATATTTTGTTTTTATTGATGCATATGATCAAAATCTGATTTCAAACAGGTATGTTGTTGCAAAAAAAAAGAAATGTTATTATCTACAGCTTTTTTATTTATAAATTTATATTTGTTAGTAATACTGCTACTGTGCCAAAATATTCAAAAATATTTTTTAGTGACGATAGTATTTCATTTAAATGTTGTTCAATTCCGTCATATATTTCATGAAATTCTTCAATATTACCATCAATATCATAAATAAAAAAAAATTATATATATATATATATATATATATATATTATATTATAATTTAAATGTAATTAATACAGTCATGCTCACGGAGCCACGCAATCCCTTGGCTACTTTTGTGGAGCCCTAGGCCCTGAGAACCGCTGTACTACCTATATAAAACATTACATTGGGTTCAAGTATTTTTCGATAATATATTTTAATTTTATTAATTGGTAGTTAATAACATTCATCATATTGTTTACGACCATTACGTTTTCAAAAACCTACCTAAACTAAATTTAGTTAACCATTTATCAATAATTAATTAACATAATATCTTATTGAAACTTATAACATATATAGCTTATTGTGTTTCAAATATAATTCTTAAGTAAAAATAATGTTCCATTTAGCGACCATAGTTTTACTTAAATTTTTACTATAAATTGAATACAATTAATACTTTGAAAATGATATAATAGTATTACAGTTGCCTACATTAAAAAAACCCATGGGTAATGTACGTTCAATTAAAAAGAAAATTTAATTGAAAATTACATTCAGTAACATATATATATATACATGTCTAGTAGTAACTTAAATAAGTGTGTGCATGTGTGTGAGTGCGTATTATATATGTTCAGCAAACTTATATGAATTATTATAGAATTAAATTGTTTAGAAGACAACGTAGTGATGTTAAATATAACTCATCAGTTAAAAACCGCTTTAGTGCGATATATAATACGTTATCACGTATACATCTTAATTATCGCAGCGGTAGAGTTTTATTGATTCGTAAAATCCATAAGTTTCACAATATATTAGCTTATAGTGCTTGTTTTTTTAATAATTGTACTTATATAAGATTTCGAACACCAAATTATGTTAATATATATTTTATATATAAATATATGTATATATATACGTATGTATGATTTTCTACCTATACAACTATGGTTATAATATTATATTTTTAATTGTAATTTGTTATGATACCTAACAAGCATTAATTAAGTAACATATTATACGCTTTTTTCAGTTATGTTTTTTCCTACTTCTTATTAGCGCATTTATTTTAAAATATAAAGTTAAGTTTCCACTTAAATTCCACAATATTATAACCCTTAGTGAGTAGGTAATATTTAAAAAAAGTATTGGCTATAAATAGCTTCAGTATGTTATGAAATTTTTATCATGTATGAAATATGGTAAACATTCATTAATTCATTAATTTTGATTAACACCAAAAAAATAAAATCGTATTTCCGTCAGTCAATATTATATTATTATTTAGCTATTTATGATTAAATATAACATTATTTAAGCAAAAATAAAATTACTGTTCTTATGAGTAGGTATATTGAAATTTTATAAGCATTATTTTAATAAAAATTATCATAGTTAAAAATTAATTCGTAGGTACCTTAATTTTTTTTCCAAACTACCTACATAATTTAGAAAACTATCGTATTATTATTTGTTCAGTATCAATGGTTACCATTAACATATTTGTTGCCCGCTTATAACTAGATTTAGTATTACCAATATGTTTCTACAATATTTTAAAATCCTAATCAGATATTGAGTTATTAATGTTATTCACTTTGCCTGGGTCTCCTCTCTACTTATATAGCATATATTTATTGATATTTAAATTAAAAGACAATATTATTTGTAACATAACAATCATTGAGGTAATTTAATTCTGATATTGAATAATTATTACTTTTTATATGTGTGTCTTACCCTATCCCATTTATATGTTGGACTTTTCCCATCTCACACAATTATTGATGTATACTCGTGTTGTAAGCGAACTATTCTAAACTATAAACATATTTTTGTTTATATACTCATTTATTGATAAGTTATAATTATCATAATCAGATTCTGTTGAAAATCAAGTGCCTAGGTTCCATATTACAACCATTTTCTTTGTATATATATTTTTTTTTAAGTGTATATTATTTTACATTTTACTTAATTCGACATATAGAAAATTAAATAGTAATAATAATATAAAATCATATAATTTAATATGATTTTAGAAATAACAATACTTATTTTAAGTACCTATTTTAAGCAATTTATAAATACTTATTATATTTAAATGTTTAAACAAAAATGTATATGGTTAAACTTTTTTGTTTAAATATTGTATTTTAGATATAAATAGAACTAAGAATTCGTGACTAAAAAAAATAATTTAATGTATTTTACAAAACATACATGATACAATAAATTATTATAGCTATTAAAGTAATAATAATTAATAATAATATTATTAAATGCAAAATAAAATAAATGCTATTTAACGACAGCGTGTATAAGAATTGCCTATTCAAAGTGCCGTGTTAAAAATATTTTCTTTGTTATATATCATTTTTTAGGTTTTTATCATAACATGTATCGGTAAGAATAAAGATAAATAATTCAATAATTAATTTAAGTATTGTTATTATTATTTTTTTAATTAATTAAAAAAACAAAAGACTCTTACTAGGTTATATTTTATTTTTTTTAATCTTTTAACCACTCATAGTGTTAATTGATATTATATTAATAATTAATGATCTTAATATTTTTAAGTTTGTTTTAAGATAAATTAATATTTAAACTTAAAAAAAAAGAAAAAAGAAAGTGATTACATATTATTGTAGATTATTTAATATAATACCTAGTTAAGTATTATTTTTTTAAATTTATAATATTTTAATTTGAAATTTCCTAATATATTTATTTAAGTAGATTTAGTAAAAGTATTTCAATGGTTATAATTTATTATTATAACTGTTATAAAATTAAATAATTTTAAAGACTAATAAAATATTTAGTATCATTTTTTTTTTCAAATTCATAACGTTAGTGGCGAATGGTAATACACATATTATAATTTAAAACGCTGAACTAGATATACTATACTGCATAGTAGAAACAAGTTATAATATAATAGTATAATAGTATAATAATTTACTATTGCTTATTGCCAACATTATACGCTTTTTATCATAAAACCATCGGTATGATACGTATATGTATAATGTTATGTAAAGAATGTATTCTTAGTTCATAAAATGTATTCTGTGTATTTGCAAAACGATTAACTTTAAAAAAGTATATTTTTTTAACATTTATCGATAGTAAAATTATTTTTATTGGTGTATTATTCTATAAATTTGGTAGATATTCAATATTTTATAATTTTTAATATGCATTTATAAAATGTGCGATAGTTTTGTTTCATAAAAAAAATATATAGTCGGGCCATTTATCGCGTATTTTACCCGCTTCATAAATATTATATCGAGAGCAATATAATATATTCTGGCGATTTACATCAGATAACATTTTATCTTCTTCAAATGTCCGATGTAAGATTAATTGATATTTGATTATTACAAGATATAATGACGCCAACATTATGCATATTAATTTGATTTTCGTATTAATAAATTACAAATTGTAATATATTGTAATATTATAAAAATTAATCGTGAAAAATTAAATTATTTACAATTTTATATAGTAATATTTACATTATAAAAGTATACACATAAGTTTATCGTCAAGGAGATGGTTTAACATAAATATAGGAATACTGCCAAAAATATAATTTACTATTAGCATATAATGTGGGCAATCATAAAAATTAACTATATTTAATCTATATCATCATGTAGTCGTTTAAATACAATCTTAAAAGTATAATGTTATATTATATAGCACATTTTAACTTATGTAACTAAAGGAAGGTTATAGATAAACTTTTAAATTCTATCATTATCACAATTTATTGTACGATATATAATTATACTGTTAAAAAAAAAAAATATATTAAAAATTACTTTTACAATACGTGTAGTACTCGGTCAATAGGATATCAATAATCTTCATTGGATAACTAGGAATAATCCTTTGGATGTAATATATATAAGACTATATAGTTAATTGACATAAAAAATTCCATTGTTAAATGGATTTTACCTTTTACGAGAATGTTTGCATTCATTAAGTTATTGTTTTTGCAGGTGATGAACTCCGTCGTGGTCGATCTTCGAGAAGAGACGATCCTCGGCGTCATACGCTATCCGGCGATCAACATCATAACTATCAACCGGCCCTGACAAGGTCTATGGATTTGGAGGTGAGTTGCCTGAAAAACATCAATTTCCGTTTTTTAATCCAAATAATTTACACATAATACTAATATACTTAGCTGCGTTCCTAAATATAATTCGGTACAACCGTATGTATTATAGTTCAATCACGCGTCACTAAATATATTATTACTGCCGCCTCAACTGTGCACAAATGAAAAAAACACCATTATTTTAATAAATTTTTATTATGCTATTGCTTTTACCATAACTAAATGAATATTTTGTTGTTGTTTTATTGCCACCATTTTGTTTGCTTTGTGGTGTACGATGTTATTATAGATGGGAACGAAAATGCAACGGAAAAAAGTAAGTCGTCGCCTAACATTGAATACTTACGGATATTTGTATAATAATATTATTAATTTTCCCATTACAGTTTTAGTATAATTTTTTAACGCAAACGTGTTTGTAAACTGTTTATATATTACATATAACGGCTTTGTTTCACTTAATTAAAAAACAAAATATTTTCTGTTTAAATCATATTCAGTACTGGTTTTTTTCAATACTTTATTTGAATCGGTTTTATTTGATTTTTAATCAATTTTCTTTTCAACCGTAAAATAAATTAAATTTCAAACTCATATAATAATTTATAAAGAACTCACCAGTCTTGATAATTTTTGTAGCTCATTTAATGAGTTTTTATACGGCCTGTGAATTCAATTATTTATTGCATTTTTAAATCAAATACTAAAAACATATTTATTTTTTTTTTTTGATTTTTTTATAATTTTAAAACTATTTGAACGACCACACTTAATTTTAATTATAATACACATTTGTTTTGTAGGTATTTACCATTTACTATAATAATTTTTATTAATATGTATACATGTATATATATTAAGTAAAAATATTTTAAATAATTACAATATATTTTTAGATTTATCCCATTCGTTTATATATATCATATTTTGGTGGATATTTTATTTACTTTTATTTGTTGTTAATCACATTACAGGGTACATTCGACATTTTTTTTCGTAACAAAATCATCACTATTTACGTAATTTGTGCTTATTCATATTTTATTATAATGAAATAGTACCACGCAAAATTTAACAGATGAGCACTTTTATTTTATAATATGAATAGCTTTTATATTATTATTAGATTTCAATATTATACTTGAATAGTAATATTGAGAATTGAATAAAAAGTAAATTATTATAGTTAATTTTAACGGTTTTCTTGTTGTTCATAGTCTCCAGCATCTAGGGGAGGATATCCGCCAGCTACTGGAATGCTGTTCGACGACGATCCAGGCATAATGTCCGAAGTTGAAACTAGCTCTACTGGGTTCCGAAGAGGTAACAAGCAGAGGAGTTCATTGCCGGTCGTCAGAACCCCTTCGAAAACTTTAGAGCGACCATTGGGTAAGTGAATACTTTTAAATATACATAATTTTTATTATAATTATTATACTAATAAGAAATCAAAAACATACCGGGTAAAATTTAAAATGAAACCTAATTTTTCTCTAAAACGTTTTGCGTTTTAATCTTCTGAAACTAATATAATAATAATTTAAATACAATTTCTAATAACTCAATTTATTGTTTTTCCAAAATGTTGAAAGATGAAATAGTTTTTTTATTAGTCTTACACATATAATATGTTACAACTGTCTTATAAAGCCTAACGTAGTTGAAACTTTACGTAATAAAATATAATTTTTAAAATTATTTTTAAACGTTGATCATGAACATAATAATTTGTAGATATGTGCTAAAATATATCACTGATAACGTTTTTTTTCCCATTTTGTGATTAAACTTTGTACATTAATAATGCAATATCGTAAAATATATATTGTAAATATGACAGAATGAATCCGACTGAAAGATTCATTTGTTCAAACTTACCATGTAACACTTTTAAACATATTAAGTCCAACAGTTGTATATTCAAAAAAAATATCTAACATTTCATTTTGTTATTTATAGATAAAGTTTTGACAAACAAGTTGTTAAAATTCTCAGTTTATCTGATATTATTTTATTATTTTTAAAATACATACATAATCTATCGTTTTTTATTTACAGTTATTTGTTATTCTATATAAGTAACAGGAATTTTTGTTTAATAAGAATGAGGTAATTTATTTGAAATATTATATAAAATATTATTTAGGTTAAAAAAAAAATTATTATATCTACATATAATAAATTATTTTTTTTAATTTTCAATACTTTTTTGTTAATAATTATTTAATTAATCATTAAAACAAAATTTGTAACATATTACTTGAAAATTTTTTTTAACGAACAATTTCGTTGGTTTTGGTACTTTGTAGAGCACAATGTATACAATATCGTTTTAAATACAATTTAATAATTTTGAGGTAGAAACACGTGATTTCACAGTGAAAGGAAAGGTTTATACCTCTTTTGGCATGCTCCGGGGTACTATAAAACCAGATAAACATTTTGTTTAAATTACATTCGGTTTCTTAAACGCGATGTCTATTGTAAAAACATTTTGAATAGAAATAGATCATAAGTTTAGCCTGGTTTGCTGGATCAAAAAAATACTAACGTGTATATTATAAACATTTTATATTATAGACATAAAAATACGATCCCGAATAGTAATTAATTAGTTGTCAATAATAAAACACTGTATAAGATTTACCAACATATAAAATCGATCATAAACTGGATTGGTTTAATTTAGTTTAATGGCACATATATTTGAAAAAAAAATTTAAATAAACCCCATTGTAGATATAATTTTGTATAATTATATAGTGTTGTTTATATCGCATTTTGTACCTTTTGTAACTTTGTCGTAGCTATTATATACGTGACCAAATCACAACATATTATAAATATTATTCATATACTTAATTATGCACAATATCTATGTATTATCATCTTTTCTTTTGACACGTAACGGTTTTATACAAGACAATAAAATAATTGTATTTATTATGATGTTAAATGAAAAATAACCCCAAAACCGTTTGTTGTAAATTTCTAATTAAGCTGTAGTAGATTAACTATTTTTATTTGACAAAATGCGAGGGACGACATATTTTAATTTTAATGTTTTTAATTAAGTAATTGAGTAGCTTTCAATATTGACTTTTAACTATTTTTCAAGCACTGTTAATAAACATTCTCAATGCGCTTTATTTAATTTCTTATCAAACACTCGCAGCAAAATAGTTCGTCGTCAGATTGAAATTTATCGAAACAAAATAAATCGCTTTATGTTTAAAAGAATCAGTATAATATATCAAAAATACAGATACAATACTATCTTCGCATCTTCGCAGACAATTGTATAACGGTTTAATCAAATCTTCAGTAAAGCTCGCCCTTAATACTTCATTTTATATCTACGTACATATTGTATATAATATGTTAGTGTTACAAAATATATTTTAATCTTAAAACTCTGAGCTATCGTAATTTATGTCTTGAAAGGTGACCCGATGTTGAATGATGAAATGGCTTTCCGTAATATGATGACTCACCCACGACAAAGTTTAGGTGAGCCATAGTTGATTACGCATACTATTTGGTAAAAAAAAAAAAAAAAAAATGACTTAAGAAACCACATATACACATTTTTACTGTTAGCTTTTGTATATCAGACACAAAACACCACTTTTTTTAATTTATATTTTTGTTATCCTTTATAATATTATTATACCGTTGTCTTAAAGTTATTGCATGCGACAAGAAAGTCTGTTTTTATGTTATACTTTATTTTATTATATATATATGTGTGTGTGTGTGTGTGTTTATTATTTTTACGTCTATACACAACTATATTTGATACACATATATTCAAATTATTTAATTTTAAATCAAATGGCTTTTAACCCAAAAATAACCTAAATACTTAACTCATAAGTGTAAGATACGATTTTAATTTAAGTTAAATGTATGAACATGAGTTTATTATTATAATTAATAATATACTTGTAGAGTTAATTATAAATAGAAAACTGTTCTTCACATTTTATTTTGCTCAAAATTCTTTGATCTTAATTATAGGATTTGCCTAAATATAAGTTTCTTGAAATGTTGAAATAACCATAGTTCAAATGTGCACTCGTGGGCTAAGATTAGTTTTAAATTTTCATAACTTGTGTTACTATGACAAATACTTATTTATATTTAATATAAATAATTAAAGTTAGAGGTAAAATTTTTAAATTCTAAATGTATTATAATGTATTTTAATAATTTATTAACTGTTTCTTAATCAAATAAAATAACCTTAACTCAAAATTTACAAGCGTTTTTAATTTTACGTTCATTTGCTTTAATTTTATTTAAAATGTACGTGATCTTATTTTTGCAAATTTTTATGCCATTATATTATATCTTATGTTAAAATTACGATTTTTAAATTATACATTAAACTCTAGCAATAATTAGTTAATTTGCACGTACAAATACAAATACTCGTGCATATATACGTATACGTACATTAATAACCGATATGTATAGTATTGTAATATCTCATTTATCCTAACATTAAATTCCAAAACATTGATTTATACAAGAATTATTAAAATTGTATCATAATTACTAACTACTTTGTACCTAATTATAGGTGTAATTATTTTTTTAAATTTATGTTTCTTAGTTAATTATTATTGTTAATGTATAATATATGATACAGTTTGAGTTAAAATATAAATATATTACATTAATGAGAATATATTACATTTTATTTTTTATCTATTGATTATAAATTACAAAAACTAATAATCAAATTAAGTAAAAATTTAGTAGGTACCTAATAAACTAAACTATTATATTATGTGAATATTCTCTAAAACTATTCATTTTAACTGAACTAGAATACTTAAATGAAACTGTTCTAACAATATGATCCACTTTTACAATTCACTATTAATTAATTTATTCTTCATCATTGAAATGTAAACGTTTAACATATTATGTCAAGTATATTGTTCTTATTGCATGTAGTGTACTTATTGTTAAATTCATTTAAAATAATGAAAAAATAAATACACGTGAATTCTTTAGTTCATATTTAATATTATGTATTATTAAAGTCAAAATTCAAACAAACTTAATATGATTAAAACATTATTTTTATGTTTATTGTTTATTCTGGAAATAATGAAGTTATTACGTGTACAATAAATAAGATGTATATGAAATGAATGATCCACTTAACATTAGATATTTATTTTCTTTGCTTTAGTATTTATAGCATCAATTTTATATAATTTACAAAGGTGTATTACTTTTTTAGTTTTATTCATTAAAGTAGTATTTAAAGTTATATTAATTATTAAACGAATTTAGCACGTTAAACAGATTAATCTATTTCTATAAATTTATCTTTGTATCGTTTGAAATAATATTAATTAATTTAAAATTTACGGCCCGAGTTATTTAATACAAAAAATAAAATAAGTTCGATTATTAAATGATACCTAATTACAAATTTGAATTTATAATTACTATTAAATACAATATAAAAGTATTCAAAAAATAAAAATTAGAAATAAAAATCATTTTTTATATAATTTATTGTTAAAATTACTTTAAATTATATAAAAAAATAAATAAATTAATTAAAAAATACAAAAGTTTATCGAGAAAATTAGTATTGCATGATTAATTTATATGCAAATAGATATATTTAACTTATTATATAGTAATTTCTTACTTAATTTTCATGATTTAAGAAAAAAAAATTGTCAAGCAAAAGTATTATTTATACTAAATTTTACAAAAATACTTTTTATTATTTTGATATTTTAATAATTTAAGTAACCATTAAAACCTTAACATAGTTCAAAAAATCAAAGTTTTTAAAACAAAGTGAATAATTAATTTTTTTTATAAATATTAAATGTTCAAAGTTATAACTTATAAACTATTATAACTCATTGATTTTAGTAAAAAATATTTGATAAAAACCAAAAAAATATAATAACTAATTAGTGTAGTAAAATTATTGTGTTCTTATAAGTAATACTCAATAGTTGTGTTTTATTGAAATTTTAAATAAACATTATTTAAAGATGATTCATTTCATAGTATCAAGCTATGAATGCTGTTAAATATGTATATATATATATATGTATATACTAGAATGCATATAAATTTTATTTAATAAAAATATTTTAAAAGCGTATACAGTAATAATCGTTAAAATAAACTCATAATTTTTATCACCATAAACATTTTAAAATAAAATTCATCACAATATTTCATTGTATTTTTAATAGATAATTAAAAATTTAAATAACAAATTTACATGATTTGTTTATTAGAAACAATTTAAATATCTAGAATTTAGTTTTATTACTTTACGTTAAAAAATATAATTTTTTTTTTTTTAACGCATATTTTGTGTTTTTTGTTGTTTTGTTGTTGTTGTTTATAAATATCCTTATCAAATACACATTCTGTTATCTTTGTAGTGAATAACTAACTCAGGAAAAAACCATTATCATCAATATAAGAAAATAATTCATTCCTAGCATTGTATCACTATCATTAAACTTTTTTTATTTACTTGTCTCTAAAGTGAGCGATAATATAGAAACAACTATTTTTTTTTCGTTTTTTTTTTTCTTTGTTTAAAGTTTTTTTTTGAAACGTAGATTTAAAAATTTTGTTTTTATTTATGTAAATAAATGTCATAATTAATATATATATATATATATAACACCTCTTTCCTATATATTTTTACACATAATATATAAAACCATCATCCCACGATGTGTGCATGCATCTATAACTAATTATTATTAATTAACAACTCAAAATGTCTTCAAACTGTTTATGTTATATACTTTTTCATTTGGTTAATACAATAAAGTTATTTTATTTATTGGATTTTTTTTCTTACGAGTTTAGGTCTCGTATTCTTGCAATACCGTAGCGAAACAAAAAGAGCATTGTTACCAAATGAAATCACCTCAATAGATACAGTCAAGGCGTTATTTGTCCGGTCTTTTCCAAAACAACTCACCATGGAATATATGGACTCGGCACTCGTCAAGATCTACATTCATGATTCGTCAAAAGACATGTTTTATGAGCTAGAAGATCTCAGGTATAATTTATAAACCATTTTATAAAGTTAGTAATTTACTAACCATATGCATATGATAATTATAACATTAATAATGCTTTAATTTATTTTTTGTATATTCAAGACCCCCTTTTTAAATAATAATAAATTTTATATCGTGTTTAATTCGTATTTTTAGCGATATAAATCATTTCTTTTTAATAGCAAACTTTCTTTTTTATTGTTATTGTTAAGAATATAACATTTTTTTAAACGTTGATGTATCTAAATCAGAATTAAAACAAGTACCTAGATAGTTTAACAGTTATATTATAAATCTTTATTACATTTTTAAGTAAAAAATAAAATACATTAAATAACATTAGTAGTTTTTTATTACTTATTCTACTAAAAATATGTCTACATAAATTGTTTGTAAATTATTATTTGTCCTTATTATTATCACAGGCCAAAATTCTAAACCTATTATTATAATCTATTATTTTTAGTATATAAAGCTTAATAAATCAAAAAGTGCTGTTTTATATACATCGAAGTTTTCAAAAATATCATGTGCTCATGGATTTACAGTAAATGAGTTTAGTTTTAAGTGTTGTAAAAATATTTTGCACCATTAGATAATAGTAGATACTTCTAAATAGCACAGACAATTTAAGTACCTACTTCAAAAAATGTTTTTTTTTTTTAAATTAAATATACTAACTAAAAATGAAAATTCTAAAAATCAGAATTGAACAAATGTCCACTTTTAAGATAGACTTATTTTTTATTTTTTATTAAGTTTTTGAAATAAGTGTATACTTTTGTTTTAACGGTTATTAAAATACTTATATTTAACCATGCTACAAATTTTAATGATATTCTAATAATAGTTAAAATTATATTCATTTTTCATTTATTTTTAAAGTTGGGTTTAATAATATGGTAAAATATTTATTAATTTGGGTTTTTTATTATTATTTCAGGATAAATAAATAATTTAGAGTTTACATTTTACTCTTAAAATAAATAAAAAATATGTTTTAAAAACGATCTCATTATTTCAATAAAATAAAATACTTAATTATGTATTATAGTAAAGTTTACGTTCGTCTAAATTTATTTAATTAAACATCAACAAACATTAAAAATATTATTATTATTATTATGAAAGAACTCGGTATTTTGCTTTTTGTATGATTTTCAAATTAAATGTTTTTTTTTTACTTAAAAAAATAGTTTGTACCTACATAAATAACACAAACGTTTTATTTTATTTATTTTATAATTTAAAAAAAAATGCATCTATTTTATACTGGCGATTAGTATTAAATTATTTATATGAATTATATTATTTATTTTTTACCCAGTGTATTAAAAACTATAACACAGCGCGTTTTAATCATTAAATTGAAAAGAGTCTATTTTTAAATTAATATTTTATTAAACGATAAATGGTAACGTACAATATGTGTGTTATAGCCAGTATATATTTTAATTATTTAGCGAGATCTCATAAAACACCTCTACCGGATAATTCAGTGAGTGTTACGCGCGTACAGTGTTATAACGCTGTAGGAAAGCGTTAGATTGCCGGAGGATAAGGTTAATTATTAATTAATTAATTTCGCAACGTCGACGCATTAATACAATTTTTGCTTTATGCCCTAGCTACCTGGTCGACAACATGTTAGCTGTGTATTGAATGTATAATATTACGTTTATGCAACGACGTGGTAAATTTTTAACGAACACTCTAGGTCAGAATTAACTGTTCATTGGTATTTAGCGAGCAAAATATTAAACGTATATACTTCGGTATCTCGCTCGGTATCTCTCACTCCCGTCAATCAACACTGCTAATCAAATATGGCATTTTGTTAGGTTACGTATATATCAGTTATTGCTGGCCCGTTACAGATTATTACGAGTATTATGTTATTTCGAAATGGTTAGCGTGGCAAAAAAATTTTAAATCCTATAAGACTGAATGGCCTCATTGTATTGCTTTTATTTCAACCGATATCGTAAGCAACGTGCAACCCAATCCTTTTAAGCTTTCCCCGAGGAAAAGGATAATTGTGGGGTGGTGGTGGCCTGTTGATTTATCCTTTGAGCAAATTCCAAAAACCGTACTGGTTATTGTGATTTGTTTGCAAATATCACACAAAGGAAGCGTGTCCGCGGTTTAGGATGTTATGACATAAATACCCACAGAATTTACACCCCTATTTATCCTATCTTGATTTTTGCCAATTACATTAGGGTAGCTTAGTATTTGCTCATCGTTTGCGTGTTTACTTTAACCTTTATACTATACGTATACCGTTTCGCTTCATAGGTCACATCTCAACGACATCCGAGATAGGTCGGTGTTGCGACTTTTCGAGTCAGCCGAAGGTGGTCCCCTACCACAGGGTCTCACGATAGCTGCACCTACATGGGACCAAGATCAATCATACTTTAGCGAGCCGGAATTCGATTCAGAATTTCAACATCAACATATACACAAGACTAAGGTAAGTCACATTTTAATGCATAATAGAATAGAAGTAATATTCTCGATTTTCAAACGATATAGATGAGTCGATTTCGATTAAATGATGTATACCACTTGACCGGTATATGTATTATCGTATTACATTTTTTATCCATTTCATATGCGTAGTTTTGAATTGAGTTTATTTATCAAGTCTTTTATGCGATTTGTATATTTTTTCTTAAGTTTTCGTTTAAATTCTTTTCCATTTTCTCTCCTTATACTATTTATAAAGGGACAAAACGCAAAATACTGCCTCTTAGAAATGCATATTATATTAAGCCGATACCTTTTTAATATATTGCAAAGAATGCATAAATAAACTTTAATCTCTAGTAAAACTATTGTGCGTTACGTTAAGTCATGCGTGCTATTATTCTTTACTATAAAGTATTTTATTGTATAATTCTACTTTTTTCAATAGTGTACGTTGATGTACGCAATGCCTATAACAAATAATAGAAGATTCTTTAAATGCTACTATTGTTTTGTAATTTGTTATAATTGTATTGATATATTTTTCGTAAAAAAAAAAAAAATAATAATAATAAGAATAAGAATATACTGTTATCTTATGAAATTAATCGATGAGTTTCTGATGAATTGCTCTTAAATATACTTTAGCGTAATATTTATTTAAACTTGTCAATTATTACATGATAAAAAAAAAAAAAAATCAATAATTTAATTGATCTGTTTGTATGGAATTGAAGTCAAAATCTAATTATTATTTTATTTTATTTTCAATATTATACAATTTTTAATGTTCTTATAGAAATACTTTTGTTTCATACTTAACAGTTTACTCACATTTTATCGTTTATATTAAAACTGTATATATATAAAAAAGAAAGTTTATCTCTAGTACATATCTGTATTATTTATTAAAAGTATTACATCGGAGATAGGTTATTTGTAATAATTGTTTTCTTGTATTTTTATGGATAAATACTCGTAATTCATAAATAGAAACCATTTAAAGGAATTTATTAATATTAATTCTAAATCTTAAAAATATTGTTTATTATTAAATAAAAATATAGCATATGCAATCTATAAATAATTATTTTTCAACGACCTCAAGTGATTAATCATTTCAACTAAATCGGAAAAATCATACATTGATGAAACTTATTAATGTTAGTTTTAGCCGCTAAGTCACAATTTTATTTATGTTTTAATGGTCTTCTTTGGCCACCTGAGATAAAATATTAACTTCGAAATAATTAAGTTAATTTTAATTTTAATTTCGAAACTAATTAGTTTAAAATTTCTTCATACACAGCAACCAATATTAATTTTCCACATTTATGTGCAATATGATATTACGTATTGTGTACAAGTATATTTTTCATTGAGCACTAAAGATGTAACTAATCCTATATCATATACTACATTATAAATTACCTATTTATAATTTTTATAAAGTATTCTACTACCACATAATACGTATATAAGTACATATTTTTCCTAATTGAAACTAGTTCATATTAGTTGTTTAGTTGATTTTTGAAATAAAGCACCAATAAATCAATAGGTATCATGTTTTTTAAATGCAATTTATTATTTTATTTTCATTATATACACGGTAACAATATCACAGTTATACAATTACTTTCAAATTACATACTTAATCTAAAAAAAAAAATTATTATAATTTATTCCTTATGCAAATAATAAAAATTTTTACAAAATTGCTCAATGCACTTTAAATATTATAATAGGTATTATTTACAACGATAAAATGTATAATTATTGTATCGCGTCATTATTTAGTTTTATGTCAAAATGATTTTTTACGGTGTGGTATGTTAGATTGTTAAAATAAGTATTGAAAATATAATTCGTTAATAAGAATATTATCATTAAAAAAGATATCTTGTAGCAGTCCTATAATCTCGAATCCGATTGATTTTAATGTATATGTAGCACTAAATAGGTTTAGAGATTTATTGGTTATAATTTATATGGCCTTCAGGTTCAATTGATATGAATGAGTAGAGCGAATTGTAAAGTTGATCAAAGCATTTGATTGACTATACGAGTAGACTAAATTTTAGGGCGCATGGCACGTCATTCTATAAAGAAAAAAGTAAACGTATGACATAAATTATCAATATGTTCAACCGATGCACCTCTATATTCTATTACTATATACAGGGTGCTTAACTAAAGCATGCTTACTTCCATCTTTTCTTTAGTTATAAAAGATTTTTGTTTTTTTGCTTTACTTCAAAAATATCTTGTGATTACAAAAATGCCCTATTTAAATTTAAAATCACTCCTTTTTACTGTAAATTATTAAGTGAATAATTTTTTTTTTAATATTGATGCACCTAATAAGTTGTTTTACAACTATTAAAATATTATATTAAAAAAAATAATGGTTCTTAAAAATTGTTTCATAAAAATATTAAATATTGGATCTAGTATATATTATATTTTTACCATTTATAACAATTATAAATATTAAAAAACTAATATTAATTGCTAACATTTTCTAAACACTACAGTCCGCATATTTTTCAAACCCATTAACCTGATCTAACAACAATAATTGTTTTTAAGCATGTACAAGGCATTTACAATCTTTGTGTTCGACTGCAAATTGAGTCAAATTCGAACAAAGTAACTATTTATCTTTATATTAAAATCGTCGGCGATTTAGGTTAAATGATAAGTGATAATTATGGATTATTATATTACAAATTTGCGGAAAAGGGCTGAAACGATTATAATATTTTTTTAACACTGTTCTATCGTACGACTGTACAAAATTATAGAATACGCCTTATAAATAAATAACACGTCTTAAACTACAGCCTGGTGGCTTGTTTGCATAATGCATTACACTTGATTTCGCGCACTGAATGGTTTTCAATTTTTTAATGTTACAGTTTTATAATCGGTTTACATTTAACCTCTGAATTTTTGTTCCCAGACAAACTGTCAAATGTATCATCAACGAATTTCACGTTTGTTTTTTTTTTTAACTTTGGAAAAATTTACAAATTTTGGTAGGTACTCGAAAAAACCAGTGTACACCGTAACTTGGCCGTCACATACGGCGTATTATGATTTAAGTGAATACAATTATAGTTCTAAGCTCCACGCACTATTAATAATAAAAATAATAATATATTATATATAAGTATGTACAGTATCGCTCCCTGGATCGACGTCCCCACCTACCACCGTGCTATAATAAAGTGTATGGCGGTATAGCGTCGGCGGCAGGTGACAGGGTCGTTAAATGGTTGGTGAGATTGGGTGGCGGTGGTTGGATGACCAGAACGCGAATCTCGTCAGAACATATAGCACTTCGGCAGAGCGGGCAAATAGTGGACGCCGTTGTAGAACTGTTTGCGGGTCTCGTGCCAGGACAGAACGGAAGCCGCGCGGAACGGGTCCGTTACACAGGCCGAGCACACGCTAGCCACTTTAGACACTTCCCACTCGGCCGGTTCGTACTTCCGGTCGTACAGATCACCGTCGGACCTGGCGAACCGGTCGTTACTGTCGGCGGGAGTGACGTCGGTCATCGACTTCTGGAACAGGGGAGTCCAACGCTTGTAACGGATCGAAGTGCTGCTACGGCGGTTTTCGTCTTGTTTGTCCAACAAATTGACGCGAAACGTCTCGTCGGCAGCCGGTGTGTCGTAGAAGTCATAAAGACCACCGTCAAAAAGCGGCAGATGTGGCTGCGGTGGCAGTTGCGGAAACAGCGAATCCTTCGGCGCCGGGCTGCTGACAGTAGGTATCGGAAGCATGGGCAGCCGCTGACCGTTGGCGAACTTTCCGCCGTGCGCCAAGTGTGGTGGCCTCGTAGCCTCCGGGCCGGGGGGTAGTGTGGGTGGTGCCTCGGTTTCGGCCTCGTCCACCGACTCGTCATATCCATGATGGAAGTTGTGCACGTGATGGTGCTTGTGGTCGTTGTATGCCTTGCCCGCTGTTAGCGCCGCCTTGTACAGCGAGAGCAACGTCAGTTCTCCCGAATATGCTGGGTAGTGGACAGCCAACGCCTGATCCAGGTACTCCCGTCCAGTAATTGCCACGCCGCCACCCTTAATCTGCTTGCCGGCCATCTGTCAAAAAAAAAAAAAAAAACATAACGTCAAAATTTTATTACGAACTGTCGACAATGATACGAGCTGAAATTTCATCAACTGGGAAGACACTCACAAAAAGCTCACATTCAAGTCGTTAACTATGCCTTAGCTAAACTATAACCTAATCTCACTCGCCCCACGCTCGAAGTTTATGTAATTTATGTATCGTTATTCGATGAATTTAATTATATTCTACGTCGGACAACAAATCAAACATAGGTGTTCATATTATAACATCGTTTTCTCAGATACTTTGATTTCTTACTTTTTTCATTATACGGGTTCCAGAATATTCATCACTGTTCAATAATACCGGGTGGTCCGTTTAACGTTGGACATTCATTATTTTAAAAATTATTAACATTTCAAAAATATTTTTGCATAATTTTTGTAAAAACAACATTTTTACTAATTTGATCGTTGTTATATTTTATTCTAAAACAGAATATTTTTTTTGAATACTTCGATATTTTTCCATTGTTTAGTACCTACTCGTACGATTTGTGTTAATTCTTAAGTCTTGTATGTAAATCAAACAATTTTAATAATATTAATGTTTTGTAAATCATGAACCATCCCTCTCCCACCTAAAATAGAAAACTGTTTGAGCACCACGTTCAATTTCCGCTCGAAATTCGTAAACTATGCAGACATTTGAAATAAATTTCCGGCGTTTAAGCAAATATCAATATCCATATCCATATTACGTTAGATATCATAAACTTTCAATGATATGACCCTAATAATAATAAAATACACTTGATCCAAGAAGAGTTCCTACTTGTCATGTACATAACTATACGTACCGATAAAATATAATAATATCGCAATTTCATCGAAGATTAAACACGTACTTTTAATCCGTAAATAATATTATGAGGTTATCACATATGAAGCGATTAATTCTTGTTTATGAATTTCACTATAATATATGACTGTTTTTTAGTAAGCATTTAAAAAAAAGAAATTTTAACTCAAAAATTATAAAAGAATTCTTTATCAGTAAACTATGTATTCAAAACTTTAAGGCGGAGAAACCAATACGATTCATAATACTATTATGCTATGTGTAGCCGATGATTTGGATTTGTTATTCCAAGAATATCCATTTAATATTATAATGCTATTATAAGAATAGCATTTATACTAGCATACATGTATTATTTATCTTTTTATTTCATTATAGTTAGGTTGGGTTAGATTAACTTAAGTAGTAACAGATAACTAACGATCAGTCATATAATATGACTAATCAAATAGTTCTAGTTAAAAATGTTAAGGGTTATTTTTATATTCTAATGTTGTGATGACTCTATTAATACTATTTTAAATTCGACAGTAAAGACTGCAATATACATTATTATAGATTTTGCAATGTTTTATTATATAAAATTAACTTTATAATTTTTCGTCTATCTATTAATTTACACAAGTTATTATAGAAAAAAAATATTTTTAGTTCTATTCTTAAACCAGCATACGGGATTTTTTAGTACTAGTTTAAATCATATAATTAACGAATTCATTTATACCAACGAAAATAAATACGTGTCATTAAGGTAAACTAGATTAAGGTAGGTTCTTTCAACGTTCTAAGAGTTCATAATTATTATATGTATATTTCTTTTTATTATTATTTCACCGGAAAGTAAAAGCATAATTAAAATAATAATTTTTAGCATTTAACAGTTGAATAAATTAATATTATATGTCACACGCAATGAAATAAAATAAACTTAACGCGTCTGCCTGCGTCGTGACCTCTACAAAGAATAATCTGTTTTTTATATTAACACGGTTATCACGTCATTAATAATGACGTAATATTTTAACACTTAGTAGTAGTAATATAATTATGATTTTGTCACTTTTACGGTTATTACCATCAATTTCTTGCATAGTTCATTGTGCTTTTAGTCACATAATAATATAACATTATATATTTAACAAAAATAGAAGAATAAAGGATGATAAAAAGATGAAAAAAAAAGAAACCGTAGTGAAAAGTCACTATCCATACTGACTAATGACAATAGTCAAAAAAAAATATGAAACAATTAAAAATCATAATTTTTCAAACATTTTCGATATTATGTCTATGTACGGTATAGTAATGTTTAACCGTTAAGGCAAATATGAATAAATATCAATGATCAGAATGATTTTAGCATATCGCGAATTTTGACGTAAACTTTTAACTGAATAAGGGGGAAAGATTTCAGTATATAATACCACTCTATGGTAGCTCTTATCCGCATGTACTGTAAACATGAACTACACGTAAATAATAAACTGTGTATTGATTCAATACATCTTATCATCGTATATAAACATTATCAAAAAAATATTCTATTCTCAAAATGCGTCGTATGTTCGTTAGCTAATATTTACTAACCTATACTTTTGCGAATCATCGTTAAAAACTAATAATGTAAAAAGAAAAAAATACATAGTTATTGGTGAATATAATATCAAAAGATTTAACGATTCAAGTTCAAGAAATTCATAATAAGAACGATTTTATTGAAGAAATCCTATCAAGGAAACCTACTGAGCGACTATCTAAATTTAAAAAAATAAATCTTTATACATAATATACAAGATCTATAATCAGTATTCGTATAACGATAAAATTATGAATGTGTTTTCGTGTGATTATCAACTCATTAAGTAGATAAACAAAAATACCCAACTCAACCGTGAATGCATGCAATCAATTAAGCTTTTTTAACCTATCACCTAATTGGTCCGAAAATATTATTATAAGTATTGATAACACTTCGTAATTTAAATTTTTGCAATGATAAAAAATAAATTCATTGATCACTTATCTAGAAAATTGTATAGGATCCATAGAACATATTTTGCAGTAGTCAATTAATTTCCACAATCGTCGTTCAGTTCTATTTGTTTTTATTTTCGTATAAAAGTTCGATAGTTTTTTTATTTTACTCTATCTTATTTCTATAACGAACAAATTACGGTTTTTTATAACACCATATCGTCGAAAACAAATAGTACGGGCACACTATAATCTTAGAATTGGCACAAAAATAAAAAAATAAATTTTTTGAGTTATTGTAATGTTGTATTTTATTAAAATCTACTAAAAATTATATTGCTTGAACAAAAAAAGTAAAGAGATTTCTGCTAGAATTTTGAAGTCGTATATTTACATACATTTTTTTTTTTTATCAATTTTTTTTTTTTTTGCGGAATCAAATGGAATAATAACGGCTGCTAAAACGATTCCGTGTGAAAACAATCAATAACAACAATATCTATAAACAGAAATCATATCCGGTTGATCGATCAATATTATACGGTTTGCCTTTTATACTTTTTACGATAATAATCGTTATACCTATCGTGTAACAAATTCCGATCTCGCTGCAATGAATGTTTATTAAGATGACCTATTTCCAATTCCTGTACACAACAAAGTTAGTATAATCATTTTAGGGGTAAAAAACGTTTAACCAATTATAAAAAAAAATCATATCGAATAATTCTAATGAATATCAAAGGATTTTTGTTTGTGATGTAATTATACCTACATGTGTCCGTTTCAAAGCATACGATTTATTTGAATAACTCAAAAAAATATTAATTTTTCCTCCATAGTCAATCAAAAATAATATTTATAAGTGAATATAAATATATATCACATACTGAGTATGATTACTTAAGTATTTAATACGTACATATATTAATACATTATGGATAGTTATAAGAACTAATTAAAAATTAAGTTGTATTGTATCAACAAATTAATTCAAAAATAAAATATTATATTCAACTTTAGAAATTATAATACAAATAATATCCCAATATGGTTCGAAATATTGTAATTTTCGTACTCTCAATTATAACCAGGGAAATATTACGTAATATTATTTACTCTAATGACTCGCCTCAACTGATACAAATATATTTATATGTTGTTAGTATTTTTATTTTTATAATTTTTAATTGCTTCAAAGAAAAGGTCCTTTAGCCGTTAAACAAACGCAGTCCCAACTATAAACTCTCTGTGTAGAAGGTGTCTGTACTTACCAAGTTGTAAAATCCTCTGCCCACTCTTTCGGAATTGATCCACAGCTGCCACTCACCCGTGTGACCGTTCCACGACTGACACACATGATACCATTTGAACAATTTCTCCGGATAATTAATTCTGTAAATGGTATGTCCGTTGATAGCCAACGAGTAATATGTTTTGTCGGGCTTGTTCTCAATCCACGAATATATAACACGGGATTTACCAGCATCTATATACATGAAAATAAAATAAACTCAAATAAAAATACAGTTTGTATTTATAGATAAAAATTGAAAATTGTTTTTCCTAAAATTTAATTAATAAAAACTTAGTTATCATATAAATAAAATATTTTCAATATTAATTATATATTAATTTAAAAAAATTATACGCAGTGATGCGTTAGTAAAGATGGTCACTGAGTCACAGCAATTATATTTTTTTTCTTACAAAAATATAAAAAAAAAAAACAATATGTATACCTATTACAGCTTTATTGGTCTACTTACGCGAATACGAGAATATGGGTTGATCGTGCGTGTAGTTGAAAATGTTATGCCAGTGGCATAGCGTGAATTCTTTCAAGTCTGGAATTTTGGTCTTGTATAGGAGGTACTGAAAATAGACGAAGTAGTAGAATTTATTTATAATAATGATCTAAAATGTCCATTAAACCGAAATTCGTCCGAGTACATATGGGTACGGTATAGGTCGTATGGGGTTCGCTTACCTGTGGCGATTCGGCGTCCTGAGTGAAGACCGCCTTGCGCAGTTCACACCGATCTCGTGGTTTTTCGTGAGCAGACGAGTAGGGTCGCGGTAGTGGTTTGCCGTAGACGGCTGCGTGCGTAGGTAAATTTAATTTAGGCGAACTGTTCCATGTGTACGGTTTGTGCCACTTCCAGTATGGTTCCGAAGCGGTCATTGTACAGCACCAGACCACGATAACCATCGCCGTCAGTTGGATCGAAACCATTTTGAGTGAAATAAATACTGAAACGAATTTATAATAAGTTAAAACAACTTTAATTCAAACACGTTTTATTTAATTAGATGATATTATGTTTCCAATGTTATTTTTTAATAAAAATAGCAATTTAGCCTACGTATTTGCAAAAAATAATTTACTGTAATTTGTTTTTAACTTTTTTTTTTTTTATAATGCTTATAAATTCACACCCTGGTTCATGATATTAATAATGTTAATATAATTACGTAATTTTATAATAATATTATTGTCGATATGCGTTACGACGGCGAGATATATAGGCAATTCGCCTACGCTGTTGTGTAGAAATTGTACGTTAACATAATCGACAAAATTCATATCATCATGACTTCATGAGTCACGAGTCATGACATCCTGATAATGCGTCTAATAGCAATAATATTATGTTTATTTGGAACTGTTACAATGGTACGTAGTGATGGGAACAATCGAGAGAAAATAATCGAGTACTCGATTATTAGAAAATAATCGATTACTCGATTATTAGAAAAATTATCGAATTGCTCGGTCAAAAATAATCGAATGAAAAATTAGTAGTTAGTAGTTACTTATTAGTAATTACTATTTTTATAATAACTAGTTTATAGTTACTTTATAGTAGTTGGTATAGCTATTCGAATTTCGAACACTGAACCAGTAGGCAGTAATCATTCTTATCTACTAATCTACTATTCACTAATATTATAATATAATAATAACTAATACATATTTAAAAATACCCAGGCGGCCGCGGCGTAGTATAACTATACTTTATTATTAATCTGTACTATCTGGAATTGTTAAGGAAATGGTTTCTATTATTATTTATATCTATTATAAATAATAATTTTGATCACATATATATATTATTTTGGTATAATATACTATATTTCAATTTAATTTATATGTTGTATCAGTTGTATCGTACATTTGTTATCGGACTAGCGACTATCACTATATAATAGTGACCATTCTCTCGATTAAAATAATCGAGTGAATTACTCGATTATTATAATATCTCGATTACTAATCTCTCGATTATCGAAATCATTCGATTATTCCCATCACTAATGGTACGCATTTGAATATCATTTTGTAGGATAGCACATGATATGTTATTACTGAAAATTCTCGGCACGCATTTAAACTTTTTATTTTTAACTATGACAGTTTTTTTCGTTTAAAGTTTGCACGTATAATGTGTACGTTTATATATTAATGTAAACAAATTATATTTTTAATATGAATCTTTATATTTTTATTTCAGTGTGTTTTTTATTGCTATTTTAGTGCATAAAGTTCCTAGTTCACTATAATATAATATGCAGTAAATATTATTATACCCAAAGCTATATAATATTATTTATTGACTTATTCTCTGTACATACGTCAGCTTTTTCTTTTTATTATATTATAATAACATCTAAAAGTCTAAAGTTAATATTCAATTCACCGAAACTATAACATAAAGCACACATTTTGCAGCCCCAGGAGGTGAAACTTTCAAAAACATAGCGACTCCGTCACCGCTACCACTACAAGTAACCATCACTTTTTAAAATGATCCGTTTACTTCTCTCTAGCGAGGTAAAATAAGGTTAAAACTCTAAACTTCTACTTGTTAGTAATATAATGTGTAGGTATTTTCCTCTTATAGTAATTTTCAACTTAAATTTCCATGCGTGACATATTTTTTTGATTAGTAATATTTTTTGCGTATAATATAACTTTACATTATATAAAATAATAATTTTTTTTTTTATTGAAAAGCTTATTTACAATCTATACTTAATTAAGTATAATAAATAAATTTTTTAATTAAAAGAATATTTACATAACATGAGGATGTTTTTGAGGAAACTACTCATTAGTAGCCCCTCTGAATTTGAATATTTAAAAAATAATAATAACAACGAAAACTCATTATAAACATAACACCAATCTGCGTCAAAAATTCAATTAAATGATTAAAATAATGCCATAATAACCTTAAAAGATCGTGTAGCAGCATATTTATTAATATTTTTTGCTTATTAAATTTAAATAAATGTAGTAGAAAAAAAATTAATATTTAATTAATCAATCCTAAAAATTTCAACGATAAAACCTATAAAATAGAAATAACTTTTACATTTAAATGTCACACATTCAGCTCACATACATTTTTTTTAAGTTTAAAACCCCTTTTAATCGTGATATTTTAATGTTGTATAGTTATTGTTGATATAACTTTGTCAACGATAGAAAAGAAATTATTCTCAAATCCATAGGATATATTTATATATATAAGAAATATTGTTTTTCGGGGAAGACAATCGAAACTATTTCAAGGGAAGAAAAAAAAATACAAATGTCGGTAAACATTATTTTAAAACAGATAACATATTTTTTTTAGGATAGCGAAAAACCACATTAAATTAAATAAAAACATTCACAATATAAACAAAATACAATGAATGACGAGAAAGTAACATAATTGTGGTATTTATGTATTGTTACTAAATGTGTTACAATGTATATAAATTTGATTCCGTATTACATTCACTGTTTAAAAAAAAGTAATAATAATATAATTAATTTAAAACAAATCTTATTACAATGTATTATACATTCTAGCCAATTAAATTTTTTAAATCGTTTAAGAATTAAGTAGGTATTTAAGATTGATATTTTTGGTTCAAATTTTCTGATAATTAATGAATAATAATTATACTGACCAAATAAAAATCTTGTAAGCAACTTCATCATTGTTCGTTCAACAACATATTAAACGTGATGATTACTTATATTATTATTATTATTAATACCATTATTTTTATAATTATTATAACCATGTGCTTGTATATTCAATTTCTTAAACAAATTTATCATAAATAACGGTGTACGTATTATATTTTGTATTCCTTAATACAAAATAATAGTACCCAAAGCAATTTTAAGAGTGTTGAATACTTGAATGATACATTTTTTGTCAACAAAAATAACTTTGACTTTTTATTAATATTTAATAAATACCCCTGTCTCGTAAAATAATATAAAGAAACTCAATCGTCAAATCTGAAGTAAAAATACATTATGTTAAAATAGAAAATTCAAAAGTGTTTCATAAAACTCTTGATAAATCGTTAAAAAACTTTATTTTTCTTTATTGATGTATTAATTATAATAATAATGTCTGTAACTACGTTTAATCGCTTACGCATAATTATAATATTTTATTATCAAACCATTAAAATTATTCTTAAAAATATATTTGTTGTTTATATATACAATATAGTATTTCAAATTTTCGCTTTTTGTCACGATTTATTTATTTATTTTTATTTTAAATGAAATATTAAAAACGGTTTTAAAACTGGATTTGAAATTCACATTTAGTTACACGATTAACTAACTGTAAATAATAATATGTAAACCAGTATAAATTATAATATATTACATTGAACAGTTCTGATGATTCCCTAAAGCTGCTTGTTTCTAGAGTAAGGTTTCATACATATATTATTATTTCATATATAACATATCAACACTACCATTAAATGTGACCGTTAAAAGTATTATATAAATATAAATATGATATAATATTCATCAAACAAAGCGATTGTTATTATTAAATTCATGTATCAGAGACCGATTTTATTTTGACAAGCGTTTTAACCGTTCATTAATCATAACGTTATTCTTCATATTTAATATTTATGTCATTATTTGAATGCGAAACTCGTATATATTACTGTACGTATATAATATGTGTATATTATAATAATATCATATGTATAGATTCTTCCGTAATCCTTTTGATACGTCGCGTTAAACAATAACTTTTCACGCATTTCGTTAATGACGTGCTGTTAAGAACATGTATTTTATTTCTTTTCAAAACAGCTATTATAATAACAAGAAACTGTAATATTTTTTATCGTAAATACACTAACAATTATCTCTGGTATTTAAAAAGAGATTGTTAAAAAAAATGTTCTTGGATTTTACTAAAAACCTTTGTTTTGTGCAATTTTGAATATATCTTTTTAGTTTTTTGAATATTTTTTTTTAACAAACATTATTTACTTACTATGTTTGTATAAATTCTAATCAATGATGTATAAAATATTTTGTTTTTAAAATATTTTTGAGCATTTAAAACTCTGTTAAAAACCTTACTTACAACTACTTACACGGCTGCACTACAGCACAATACGTTTAATCTAATTATCACGTATCATTTAAGGTCACGACAATTACTGGACCAACTAACGTTAGGCATTTTATAAAATGAACCAGAACCGTAGCTACAACTATTATGTACGTTTAATAATATACTATACCCTGCAATATTATAATAAACGCATGATACACATTAGATATGCATAGTAATTCAATTAAAACGATAATATTACTAATATGTTTACGAGGTTAGTTATATGTGTACGTTATGCGATATAATAATGCAATATAGGCGCCGCTGTGTTTGATATTAATTTGTATATGACGTTGACGGGCTAATAATGAACACCACTTTCGTATGTAGTATGAATATATATTTTTCTATTTGCTATTTTCAATTGTAAGCTCATTAATTTGACGAACTTAAAAACTGTATTTAAACGTAAGTAGGCGTACTTATATTCATTAAAAGTTTACAATATATCATCTAAACCACATAAACATAAAGAAAGAACGTGTACTTTAAAACTTTAAAATGTATATCTACATTTCTTGAAAAAATTAATGAAAAAATATTAGTGAATAAATTCACCAGGATTACATATTTTCTAATTTATTCATTTTCATTATTTGTAGAACCTGTTGTTTTACACTTTAAAGAAAACAATAAAATATCAAAAACAGTATGTTTGCAATATTTTTAACATAATTTTTATTCATTGGCGAGCGGTATAAAAACAACAACGAATACCAAAAAACTATTAGTTTCATACAAAATGACAAAGACCGTATCTAATCGTCTACAATCGTTTCTTTCATATTATTAAACGTAAAGACTAAA